AGATGCTGAGCTTTGTCGTTTATGGTACTCAGAAAGTGTGTTGTCTAGTAATTGATTCTAATTATTAACTTATTTATTTATATTTTATTATGCAAAATATATTAATTACAATTTTATTTATTTTAATTCGATTCTGTTAATCAAATAAATGTATTAACCTTGCTAGCATTTTCATGAGCAAGATGCTCAATACTTTGGAACTGCATGTGTTATGTTGACTCTGATGGATGGGATTTAGTCCATTCATAAAAATGGCAGCCCTACGAGATTCCTGCAAATATTTGTTATTCTCTTTTGCTTTATATATTCCAACATGGTTGGCCAAATATTTCTATGGGTGATGCCTTTTTATATTTATAATTTTAAATTGAACATTTTTTAAAAATAATAAAGCATATTAACAGAATAGATTTTTGTTCATTCATACAATTATTGCTTAATTTTAGCTAATGAGTCAAAACTCAAACCATTTGCATGTAATTATTACGGACCGATTGTTTCTCTTTATAAATATACAGTAAAGAGTTATGGTGAAATGAAGACACTTTCAATGGCTGACCCCTTTTTCATAACATCATCAACATTTCATGAATTCTACATTTCTGAAATGAAACAAACACACTGGAAAAAGGTTCTGAGAAGTGGAGAATAATTGAAAGAAATCAAATTCCAGATAGTTATTTTGATCCTTGGTAGCAGGAACAGCAGGTTTATTACCAGCTGATGATGTTGGGGGCGGGAAACCGCTCGATCTCAACTGGTTTTGGAATCTCTGGTGGACTCGCGCAACGGATTGAAGCCCAGTTTACGCCTTCGAAGAAAGGATGTTGTTTAATCTCCGTTGCACCTCACTTATAGGCTAATCTCTGCTGTGGCTCTTTGACTAGCAAGCCCCTTATCAAATCCCTGGCTGAAAAACTTACAACGGGTGATTCGGGAAATCTCAGCGGCTGCCCTACAACGTTGAACAGTGTTGCTCCGTTCCCAGACCCTTTGAAAGGAGTTTTACCACCAATCAACTGCGCTTCCATGTCCCTCACCTTTGATAATTTCAGGTGCCAAGTACTCGTGGGTTCCTACAAACAACATGGTACGTGCATTTGGTTGGCTCGCAATAAGCTCAGGCAATGGACTAACTTGTTTTCTCATTTCATTCTTCGGTTTTCGGTCTTTCTTTGATTTTGATGAAAAGAAGAGTGGAGAAAAACATGTCGTGGGAGCCACACATGATGGCTGAATGCATGAGGGCTCGATGCAAGCTGGTTGTACGCAATAAACTGGGTTCTTCAGCAAGGGTTCAGACTCTAGTGGGGCTGACAGCACAAGGGAGGAAAGGATCAAAGTCTGAAAGCATTATGTGTCCATCTTCTCGAACAAGAACATTTTCCGGCTTGAGATCACAGTAAACGATACCAAGCATGTGGAGATATTCCAAAGCAAGGAGAACTTCCGCTACATAGAACCTGCATATCGAAGCAATGACCATTGGACTTCAGTTTCATCTTATTAAGTTACAAGGAAACAAATCCCCCTTGCCACATGATTATTAAGCAAATCAAAGACTGTCAAAATATCTACGGGTAAAAGAATTTGGAGTTGTTCTCTTATATGAAACTCAACCTTTAATTCGAATCAATTCTTAGATCGACAGATCCACAAATGCATAGAAGAGAAATACAGTCTAAGCTAGTCTGGTCATAAAATAACCCGTCAGAACTATCACAATAAATTAATTTCTTCAGCTAGAAAGAAACACAAAACACAGAACTTATATTACTCAGACACGGGTGTAAATACCAACACGAGTATGCTCGATATTTCCAAGTTTTGCATGTATCTGGAGGGTCTTGTCTCCATAATCTGGATATGCATCGAACATGAGAGTCGGAGTAATGTTGTGATAAACTATACCGTTTCATCTATATATTGGTTCATATACCTATTATCAGTTATAACAGATAAACCTATAAGGCGGCATGTTGCAATGATACTAAAAGTATTACTAAAACCAATACCGATAAAAGCAAACACTGATAAGTAAATCATACAAACTCGATACTCATTTAACTCTATAGATGTTAATAAGTAGGAGGAATTCACATACTTTACTGCTTGCTCCGTAAAATGCTTTCCTGGTCTCTGTCGTAGTGTATGCAAGTCACCACCAGGCAAAACTCCATCACTAAACATGAAAATTTATTAGTCTCAAATGGGAATACAATGTTGGGAGGAAGGGATGGTCCAAGGATTGTAGTATTCCTCGCTCAGTTTGAGCTCGAAGTAGTTTCTTACGACTTGCTAAAGATGCTTTGTCCATCACCTTCATTGCAAAATAACACGTTGTTCCACTTAGTTCTGAAAGATAGACACTTCCAATATCCCCACAGCCTAATCTCTTCAATAATCGGAAATGGTTCAAACCCAGTACACCCTCTTTTCCTTGGACAACTTGTATGGCTTCCCACCTAATATCATTTGTCTTATTAGGTCTGTTGATCCGGCTACTTAAGCTGCAATACGAACTTTCATTGCTTACATCACTGCTGGTGCTACCTCTACACATACTGCTCTTACCACTCTCGGTATAATCACAATCACCAACTTTGGCACTTCCACTAGTCTTGACAAGGCCAGTGGCCCCATCACTCGATTTAGCCGAAGCTGAACTAATTCCATGTTCCAATGCTTTTGTTTCTTCTTTACCAGAACCTTCTGGTAAATCACCATCCTGACACACTTGGAACCAACATGAGTTGGAACTTCTTTCCGATTACCCAATGATAGACCTGAATCTAATTTCTCTGTCAACGAATCAACGGACTCTAATCTACAAGTTTTCAATGCGTTTACATCGTCCCTGATCCCCACACAAACTTGCTTGGCAGCAATTTGCGGCACAGCCTTTGGTGTAACAGAAGCCAATTTGCTCGTCTTTGCTATCTGCATAGGAGAAGACCAAAAAGAATCAGCTTCAGTGGCCATTTGGCTACCAAATGGTTCCCTCTGCTTTCCTGGGGAAGCTCTGGCGCCAGATTTCGAGGCCATAAAAAAGAAGGCAAACTTGTTACTTAGATCAGACTACAGAAACCCATTATTCTCCCCCGATCATCGACACAAAGTTCCATCCACCAGCAATTCTAGTTACTTTCATCTTCAACTCCAACATCTAAAAACTGATCTACAAAATTGAAATAACTAGTGGCTTGATTTATGCATGAAAACATTAGGTGATCCATGAAACAAGTATCAAACCCTAGATTTTTACAACACCCTTTTCAAAATTAAGTACTATAGACAACCCAAATCAATTAATCGGATAGATAAGCAGAAAATCAATGAGGAAAAAGGCAACACAAATTGACCAAAAACAGAGAATTGCATGCAAAACTAGATCAAAACATCCCCTAAAAGCAACAAAATAACCAAGAAAATCTACCTAGAATGGCAATCCTTTAGAGTCACCAGGATTAAAAGGTGCAGACAAAATAAAAATAGGGATAAAAGAAATCAATCAAATCACAGCAAAAAAAAATGCAGTCATTGATTCATAGTTCTCTCGAAAAATATAAGAAAAAGAGAAGATTCAATAGAGATTTCTCACTAAATACAAAAGACCCACCTTTGGATCCAAAACCCCCACTATGAACCATATGCTAAAAGACAACGTAGAAGCTTAAAAAAATACCCAGCAAGTAAATCATAAAAACCAGTTAAAGCTATAAACAAATAAAAGGGGAAACTTTGAGAAGGAAAATGAAAATTGTACCTGAAATAGTTTTCAAAGATGGGAACTTTAGGAGGCCATTGCTTTAGCAGTGGAGCATAAAAAGATAGCAGTTTTATCTGGGTCATTCACTAATCAAAATTCAACTCAGACTTAAAAATTTGATTTTTTGAACTCGATTTGATTTGAACAAATTTGACTTGTATTAATTTTGAATTGTAATTTTATAAATTGGAATCAACTCAAAAAAATTTAATAATTTCATAAATTTGAATCAACTCAAAAAAAAATTAAGTTCAAATCGGCTTGTTAAATACAACTCAAATAACTCAAAATTTTTACTAATTAATAGATTAATTTTTAAGTTTGAGTCGAAACTTAAGTTAATTCTCTCGACTTTGTATAGTATATATAAATCACAAAAAAATTATAATATATATATATATATTGTTTATGATTATAAAATATCATTTAAATTATTATAAATATTTACAATTAAATTTAAATAGAAATTTAAAAATTTAACTCGACTCGACTCGAAAAAAATTTAAATCAACTCCGAGTTATAAAATAGAACTCATCAACTCAAATAATTCAAAATTTTTAACTTATCTCGACTCGACTTGATCGAATGTCGACTCTTACATTCACTTACAAAATACTGTAGAGAGAAAGAATTTTAAAAAATTGAGGAGAAAAAGGCTTTTGTTTGTGAGAGAGAGATTGGATGGATCTACCATGAAAGTGGACAGATAAACAACAACATCGATATAACAAGAAAACATTTGGACCTGCAAGTTTTGAAGGATTTTTTTTATTATTTTAGGGTCAATTACTCTTGTAATCACTCATTCATTATTTAATATTTATTTTAGTCACCCTACTGTTATTTTTTTAATTATAACTAATATTATATTTTGATTCTATTTTAATCATCTGTCATTAAAAAAATAAATGTGGCATTAACATACCAACAAAATTTAAAAAACGAATGATTAAAATAGAATACAGACGTAATATTAGATATTTAAAAAAACAATAGTTTAATAACCGAAAAAGAAATTAAATAATAAATGGATAACTAAATAGGTACTTTATTCTTTATTTTAAGAAGTTTAATTAATATTAGGAAGAAGAGGAGGATAGCTATTTTAGTCAAAATACAAGTGAACTCGCTCGATTAGATTTGTTGCAAGTTTGCTTAACAAGTTAAAAATGAACATGATTTCCATGTTCGAATTCAAACTCCATTTTTTTTTTTTATGTTCGAGCTCAATTTTGAATCGAAATTGTTCATTAATAATAAAAATAAAAAGCTCTTTGAGTAAAAGTATTCAAATATTGAAATCGATTCAGTAGATGAGTTTAGAGCTCAAGCTGTTTAAGCTCAACTCAGATTCATCGCTCATCAAATTCATTGTCAACTCTTCAGTCTTGGAGATGAGTTGTCCGCATCAGCCATTACTTGAACAATGAAGGATCTTACTTGAAGAGTTCTGGATTAAGTCAGTCCCTGCAACCAGAAAGATAACATGTAAGATCACACTCAACCAATCAAAAATACATCAAATGTTCTAACATCTTGGCTTTTATGAGATGAGAAGACCATACGACTTATGGGCTAATGTTGTCAAGATGGTCATCAAAATCTACAATACCCTGCCATTTCCCAGATGAAATGTAATCGGGCAAAATAACGTTTGCAGCCAGCTCCTTGATTACCAATCCGCTTCCTCAGTCAGACGCAGCCAGTTTTCAGCTCTTGGATGCATCCCTTATATAAAGCTAAATGCATGATGAGATAAATATTACTAGAAGGCAAGGTAAAAAATTGTTGATCCATGAATGCATCCATTCACCAAACAACTTTTGAAGGAAAATGACCGCAAATAGCATCAATGGCCAATTTCGAAAAATGAAATCCGAGTTTAACATTAGCACAGGAGGTAATATACTCCGTAAGCACCACACAAAATCTGATGGACTCCAAAGACATTTAAAGCAAAGTTGAAAGTCCACGCACAAAGGAACAGCTAATATAAATCATCTATAAGATACCTAGAGACACAACGCATGAGGGAAAATGTCTCCGGACACTTCCGTGTCAACGAGTGGGCAACGGGAAATTTGTTTCTGAAAATAAATGGAAAAAGGGAATACTTCAGAAAGCCACATATGAATGAAAAAAAGCCTAATCAAGTGACAACCCATCCAACTAACAATGAGAAATAGATAATTAGTCACAACATCCACATTAGTTCCTTTACTATTTTTTGGCCAAAGTCCCTCCCAAAACTCTTTTATGCCAATGGGTCATTGCTTCCTTAAGGCAACACATCTTCTAACTAAGAGAGCTGTGGAACTTCTATACCACTAAATTAGGAAGAGCAATTGCATTTGCAGCCAACGCAATATATCAGACTACAAATCTACAACACATGCCAACATCCACAACCAAATATAAGAAACTCAAGGTCGTCCGGGTACTCAGCAAAACATTAAGACAGCACAGGCCACGGGAAGCAAATATGTCAAACTACCTTAGATTTATATACATTATAAAGAACAGAACCTTCAAGCAGACAAGCACACCTTCAAGATCACTGATTTTAACTACTATTAAACTAAATTGTAAGCTAGAAATGACCGTCGATAGTATTCATCAAGCAGTGGAACCATACTCCCTTCACTTTACGCTCAAACCAAACATCAAACAAAACCAAACGGCAACAATTAAAACACCGAGTTAACACAAACCTGCATCACGGGACTCTGGCATTTGCCCTTGGGCACAGCTTCAAGCTTTTTGTTATCTAACTACAGAAGACCAAATCACAAACCAGGAAACAATTGAGAACTACATACCATAACAAACAAAGCAGCATATATAACAATATATCCAATTCCAGCATGTATCAAAATACATACCAAAAGAACGGCTGCCTGAGGAAAGTACCGGCAAATATGATCACTGATGTTCTTTGCCACAATGCCTAGCTCCACATCATCAAACCTCTCATTTGCATGGAAATATCCCACAATTCCCAAGCCCTGAGATCCGTAATGCTCCTCAATCTAATCAAACCAACCGACCATGTATATTAGCATCAATTTTTAAGAGAGAGCTTTACCCCCAAAAAAAGCAATGAAAGTTTTAGCTGCCCAATTGAATTTTTGATGAAACCCCATTACCCCAATAATTAACCACCATGAAACTCTAATTCTAAAACTAAAGAACGAAACTTTAATAAGAACATGAAAACTAAACTAAATATTAAACCCTAAAAAGAGAATACCATGATGAGTGCGATCTCGAGAGGAGGCAACAAAGCAAGATTAGAGTGGAAGAGATGGACTGAATCAATGATCTCAACGACGTTTTCATTTTGTGGGTTGACTCGACCGAGTAAGATGCCATTGACCGCCGTGGTATTGTGCTTCAGAGCATGTAGAACCAACTTAATATAAGCGTTCTGAGAGATCTCGTACTTCAAGTCGGCCGCCATTTTTTGGTTTTCTTGATTTGCTTTTGACTCACTAAGCCGTATACTAAGGCTACCGCACGTACGTGAGACTTCCCCGACTAAGCCTCCTTTTGTCTAACTGAAGGTTCAAGTGAAGTCGATTTGATTTTTTCTTTTCTTTGCAAATTTTCGAGATCGGTGCTTTTGATGCTTACATGAGCAATCATTGATGAAGTTACAGCAGATAAAAATTAAATTTTGCCAAGTCCTTGGTAGTTGACGATACTTCAACTCCATTTTTTTTTTTACAATTTTGAGATTAAATTGTAAGAGAATTATAATATGAAATTAAAACATAAATTTTCATAAATCAACAAATTGAAAATAATGAGTATCTTTAAATTAGATTTTAATGTTTAAATTATAATTATAATCTAAAATTTTAAAAAATAGCATTGTAATGATATAAAATAAATAATTGTCATTATTTTGATTTTAAATTTTAAATTTCATTTTTTATCTTTATCGTAATTAAAAAATTAATTTTAAATAGAATAATATCAATATTTATAAAAAAAATTAATACATGTAATTTTTTGTCAAAATTTTAAAGCTTTTTTACCCTTATAATTTTAGTTCTTTTAGTTTAATCCCTTCAACGTAATTAACCTGTTCAACCAAATATTTTCATTTCTATTTCCATTTATGACTCCTTATGAGTATAAAACTCAAAATCATTTTATCTTGTGACATACAAGATTAAAATCTGAAATGTCAGGGCTTCAGCTTAATACTGCCAAATCTGATCTCTTTGTTGCTGAAATTTCCCCTAGGAACCTTCATAACATCATTATTTCTACGGGATTCAAAAATGGTCTTCTTCTAGTGAGATACCTAGGAGTTCCACTTGTCACCAGAAAACTCACAACTAAAGATTGTACTCCTCTTATTGATAAAATCAAATTAAGAATTCATCAATGGTCTGGGAAACATCTTAACTATGTAGGAAGACTTGAACTTGTCAAAGCTGTCCTCCAAAGCATAGCAAATTTCTGGTGCAGACAATTTCTCCTTCCTCAAGCTGTTATCAACAAGATTAACCAGCTTTGTTCTAGATTCTTATGGAAAGGCACTGACTCCGTTGCCACCGGTGCAAGAGTATGTTGGGGTAACATTTGTTGTCCTAAATTTGAAGGTGGGCTGTGATCAAAAGATTTAAAAACCTGGAATAAAGTTTGCATGATACAGCTCATTCGTAACCTTCTTGCGGGTGAAGGTTCCTTATGGATTGCTTGGATTTATAACTACGTTATTAAATCCAAAGAATTTTTACAAATGCCTACTAGCGTTACATACATCAATTGCTTCAACAGGCTGTTAAAATTAAAAGTTGAGGCCATCCCTATTCTTAATGCAAGAGTTACTAAAACCAAAGATATTTGGGATGAGATTTGAATCAAAAAGGAAAAGGTTCATTGGCATAAACTTGTATGGTTTCCCCTTCATATTCCAAAATTCAGTATCATCACTTGGATGGCAATCCTTGATAGGCTCCCAACTCGGGAAAGACTTATTCGAATGGGGATAACCACTGAAGGTCCTTATACCTTACGCAATGATGACCTTGAAACAAGAAATCATTTGTTTGTTGATTGTGCTATGGTTGATTCACTCTGGAATAGAATTCTAAATCTTTCTCTCTTAACTAAACCTCATATGTCTTAGGATAACAAGCTTGCTTGGGTTTTTACATGTTGGAAAGGTAAATCTCTTCTTTCCACTATTATGAAGATCGCTTGGAGCTCTTTCATCTACTTTGTTTGGGAAAAAATAAATAGACGTCTATTCCAAGGAAGAGTTAGAACCATGGATGATTTGCTTATTTCTATTAAGGAGGTTGTTGATTCTCAACTTAGGAATAGAGAACTTAATAGGCTTGATTTTGTTAATATACAACTTTGTACCAATTGGAGTATAGGTGTAACACCCCCAACCCATACCCGACCCGGATATGAGTCAGAGATACTACATTGACTTTAAAACACACTCTTAATAAATAATAGTAAAATATTGGGACTTGTATTAAGAAAATACAATAATATACATACTGTAATATAAGTTTACAAAAATATTCAGAGCATACACAACTTAACTCTTTAATTACATGCCAACTGCTATTTACATAACAAAATAACCTACTGATAAGTTGCTTCTGATCTGATGGTTGCAGGAGTAATACTGTCAAGCTGCTTCACCTGTCTCTTCTATTTTCCTCGGATCCTACGTGTGAAACACTCACACGCTAAGTCATCGACTTAGTGAGGCAACAATAATAAGGCAATGTATTGTACTGAATATGTCAGGATCATATGAGATGAGATGCAAACATGTAACTAATCAATGTAGTATACTTTAACAATATCCATACCTGTAAGCGTATGACTGTAACATTCATTATTCAGTATTAATAAGTTTATTGGCCCATGATAGCATATTGAGAACCTAAGGTATTTGAGTAATGTGAGGTTGTGCACTATGCTGTCACCACAGCTCGTATAAATGCACCGAAGTGCCCGTAGAATTGCACCGAAGTGCCCGTAGAATTTTGTCCATAAGGACCACGTAGAATCCTTTAAGAATCATATACATATACTATAGATCAAGTATGTGTCTTTCGAGACTTCACACAGGTTCCAAAGGATATACATATGTCCTAAAGAACCGAGTATACCCTCTACCCTTGGCATGCCAACTATACCTAGAGTTCTCATCTACATAACATGGGCTTATACATTTCCCGTAGTTCATATCGCGTAGACATAGTATTCCATACCTTTAACACATAGGCATATCATTTACATACTTTTATCACATAGTGCATAGAACTTTTCTGCATATTCATGTCATGTAATACATATAAGATGAATTCATGTCATGTAATACATTTAATACAAATTCATGTCATGTATCATAATATGGAATGTAATCATGTGTCAAAATATGGAATCTAGACTTATCACAAGTCTAGAACTGAATATACTACTGTATTCATGCTATGCATATGCACTCACCTATACTTCTTTGCCTTTTCCTCGATCGATCCTACTTGTAGATTGTTCCCGAACTCGAGTAGGCTCGGTATCTACATAAACATAATTTTTTAAGATGATCATCAGACGTCTGTGTCTTGAAATTAAGCTTTAATAGCTTACTAATTAAAAGAATTAATAGCTTAGTCTTGCTTTCTTTTCTTTCTTCTTCTTTTTCTCATGGGGGAATCGGTTCCCCCCCCTGGGGTATCGATTCCCCTTAAGCAATCTGGAATTCATATACGATGAGGGGGTATCGGTTCCCCCCCCTGGGGGTACCGATTCCCCTCTAGCATTCTGGAAATCATATTCTTTGAAGGGGTATCGGTTCCCCTTGAATGGGTACCGATTCCCCTAACCCAGAAATCCTATTTTTAGCCCGAAAATCATCTAATTTCAACTCAAACATACATATTTCAATCCCTTTACTACTCTTAGCTCTCATACACTTACTTAAACTAATTATTATCCATTAAATACCTCTAAACTTAGAAATCTAATTCTCCATGTAGCATTTAAGAATCCAACTCAAATTCCAATATGTTCTAATTTGAATTCTAACCCCTCATACTTCTTAATTAGCTTATTGACAAGTCAAAATTCTGATTCAAACATCAAAACCTCATCCATATCAAAATCTCATCTATAAACTCATTTTCCAAATCTATCTCTAAAACCCTAATCTTGTTGTTTTAATGTCATATAAGCTTTCCTTTAGCTTATATAACATCCAAGCTTTCATTTCCAATCATAAAACATCAAAGAAACTATCAAGTTCAGATTCTTACCTTAAATGCAAGCCCAACGTTGAGAGAAGGAAGAGAAGAAAATGAGGAAGAAGGGAGAAGAAATGGGAGGTTCTGGAATACACGTGTTCTCATATACCCCATAGCATTTTATTTAATTAAAAATTCCCCTTGCAAATGACCATTTGGTCCTCACCTTAATCTCATATTTACCAACCTTTATTTTTAAACCATATAATTGTTCTACTTTAATCACCAAATGTTGAAACTTTGCAAATTAATCACTAACCCGGCATGGAGGATGTTACAAATCTCTCCCCCTTAAGAAAATTCGTCCTCGAATTTTCATTGCACGAACAAATGAGGGTATTGATGTCGCATATCCTCTTCACGCTCCCACGTTGCTTCTTCTACTCTGTGATTCCTCCACAACACTTTGACCAAAGGAATGGTCTTGTTCCTCAATTGCTTAACTTCATGGGCTAAAATTTGAATCGGTTCTTCCTCATAAGTCAAGTCAGGACGAACCTCAATCTCTTCTGGTGTCACGATATGAGAAGGGTCAGATCTATATCTTCGAAGCATTGAAACGTGAAAAACATCATGTATCTTTTCCATCTCAGGGGGTAAAACTAGATGATATGCTACAGGTCCTACTCTCTTTACAATCTCATATGGTCCAATAAACCGAGGACTCAATTTTCCTTTCCGACCAAATCTCAACACCTTCTTCCATGGAGACACTTTTAAAAACACCTTATCTCCAACTTGAAATTCAATTTCTTTCCTTTTAAGATCAGAATAGGACTTTTGCCGATCAGAGGCCACTTTGAGGTTATGCTGAATTTCTCGAACTTTCTGTTCTACATCTTGAATTAAATCCGGACCAAGAACACTTCGGTCTTTGAGTTCATACCAATTTAATGGAGTACGACATTTTCTTCCATATAATGCTTCATAGGGAGCCATCTTGATACTCGAATGATAACTATTGTTGTAAGCGAACTCTGCCAGCGGTAAATACTTTTCCCATGATCCTTTAAATTCCATTACGCACGCTCTCAACATGTCTTCCAATATCTGAATAGTTCTCTCTGATTGCCCATCAGTCTGAGGATGAAAAGCCGTACTAAAGTTTAAACGAGTCCCCAACGCTCCATGCAAAGATTTCCAGAATCTAGAAGTGAATCGAGGGTCCCGATCAGAGACTATGGAAACAGGTACTCCATGCAATCTAATAACTTCTCTAATATACAGCTCTGCATACTTTTCCATAGAGAAATCCGTTCTAACAGGGAGGAAATGCGCTGACTTAGTTAATCGATCAACAATTACCCAGATTGATTCTCTTTTGTTCGGAGTCAAGGGTAACCCCGAAACAAAATCCATCGTAACATTTTCCCACTTCCATTGAGGAATTAAAAGCGGTTGCAATAATCCTGATGGAACTTGATGTTCGGCTTTGACTTGTTGACATATCAAACATTTAGACACAAATTCTGTGATGCTTCGCTTCATCCCTGACCACCAAAATCGATCCTTCAAATCCATATACATCTTGGTTCCACCCGGGTGCATCGTTAACGGACTGCAATGAGCCTCTGTTAATATTCTTTCTTCAAGTCTTCATTGTCAGGTATTACAATTCTTCCTTTACAATATATATTTCCATCTGACTTAATCTCAAAGTCTTTAATCTCTTGATTCTTTACTTGCTCAATTCTTTTCAAACACATTTCATCTTTACCTTGCAATTCCCTATTCGTTCCAACCATGCTGGTTTAAGGGTTAATTCTGCACAAAGACCACCGTCTCCCGTTAAAGATAATCTTGCATCCATAGCTCGTAAAGCTGCAAACGTCTTTCTACTCAGAGCATCTGCGACCACATTAGCCTTTCCGGGATGATAGTCAATTATCACATCGTAGTCCTTTAAGAACTCTACCCATCTACGTTGCCTCAAATTCAATTCTTTTTGAGTCATCAGGTACTTCAGGCTCTTATGATCCGTATATAAGTAACAACGTTCCCCATAAAGATAATGACGCCAAATCCTGAGAGCGAATACTACCGCAACCATTTCTAAATCATGTGTGGGGTAATTCCTTTCATGTGTTTTCAACTGTCTCGATGCGTACGCTACCACTTTTCCTTCTTGCATTAGTACACACCCCAACCCGTTATGGGATGCGTCGCTATATACTACAAAATTCTTGCCAGATTCCGGTTGAACCAATATCGGAGTTTCCGTCAGAATTCTCTTTAAAGCTTCGAAACTTTCTTGACATTCGGAAGTCCAAACAAATGGTACGTTCTTTCTCATTAGCTTTGTTAGAGGCAGCACAATCATCGAAAAATTCTTAACGAATCTTCGATAGTAACCGGCAAGTCCCAGAAAACTCCGAACTTCAGACACATTCTTAGGAACTTCCCAATCCATTATAGCTTTAACTTTCTGAGGGTCTACTCTAATCCCAACTGCCGAGATCACATGCCCCAGGAAAATTACTTCCCTTAACCAGAACTCACATTTGGACAATTTGGCATACAACTTTTTATCTTTTAAAATTTGCAAGACGATCCTCAGATGTGTGCTATGCTCTTCATGGGATTTCGAGTA